TGTAGTGTGGGCTTAAGCACGCTTTTTGACATTTATTTTATGTGTATGACATGAGGCCAAGGGCCAAGCATATTTATATTTGCACTTGTACTTATTTGGTGCCATATTTTGTTTAAAAACTCAATTCCAGTAGCTAAAGTTCAGTTTGGGCCATAACCCTTTCTCCAGCCGACCGACCATGTAGGTCAGAACGACCGACCTTGTCAACAGACCAACCCTTCCTCACTGACTTGTGCATTTAACCCTCTTTGTGGGGTTGTGGTATCTCTTAATCGGAGGACGTCGTTTTGTTCTATCTTTACATCTTCTTCGTCCAGACTCCAAATCAAGTGATTCTTGAGTCTAACTTTGTTTATTGTTCGTTGTCTTTCCAATGGTGTGCACGGTGGCACCCATTTCAATTTAAAATGACCATTTTACCCTTGGTTCAATTCTTATCGGGTTTAAAATCCTTGCTTCAGTTCTTGACTCATTTGAGTTTCTATGGCTTTATGGGGAGTCATTTTGGTGTCTTAAGGATGACGTACATCTCTAGAGGCCATTTTACTTCTTTCGCTTCCGCATTTCGGATCCATTATCGGGTCAACTTTCGGATCATCACTGACGCACCAGGTTGCAAAACTTGGACCGTCACATCATGTGCATGATTTTAAAGAATTTTAATATGTGACTGCGTGTATTGATTGTTATGTTATAAATGTTGTACGGACTCCAATTGTATGACCTCGGCTTCTTTTCTATTCCCGTCCTTTGGTTGTTGACTCAAAGGAGTCCAAAACCTACTGAGCCGCTGAGCTCACCCCCTATTTTAACATTTTCAGGAAACTGGAGGAGTATGGACGTATAACTTGTATCCATGGAGTTAGACGCCGTTGTCATTTTACTTGCACTTGTGAGTTTTCTGTGATGTTAGTGCTATGATGTACTATGAGTCTTGGGATGACGTATATATTTTATGCATTGACATAGGAAAGGATGGTAATACCTTAGATGACCTCAGGTTCGGGTAAGGACTCGGTAAACGATTCGGACCCCCAGGTTCGGATCGTTACAAAATCAGTCCCCTTTGTACACCTAATTATTTATATCCATTTTTGAAAACAAAATAAATAAATAATGATAATAAAATAAAATATTAAAAACAATAATATAAATATCTATATTAACTTTTAAATTGTTTATATGTGAGGAAAGTTTTAGCATCTAACTTCCAAAATACATAATAATGCAAATACTTAGAAATAAGGTAGAAAAGAAAAGAAAAGAAATAGAAAGTGAAAGAAAAGTGGAGTGAATGAAAAGAAAAGTGATTTTCTAGCATGCATTTGGTTAGCATGAAAATTTATCTAAGAAAATAGTAGAAAAATATTAGTTTGTTAGTTTAGATAGCATAAAAGTGAAAAGAAAATGATTATACATACCAAAACTACCCTTTGAAAGAAAAACCAAATATTTCACCATATAACTATATATATAACTACCATTTGAAAGAAAAACCAAATATTTCACCATATAACTATATATATATAGTTATATGGTGAAATATTTGGTTTTTCTTTCAAAGGGTAGTTTTGGTATGTATAATCATTTTCTTTTCACTTTATATATATATATCATACGGAATTAACTTGTATTAATATACCAAATCAAAAGTTCAATATGGTCTTTCAATAAAACATTCATGCAACAAAGTTTTTCCATCAAAATTTAAATAGTAGAAGAACTACTTGGGAAGAGTTGTCGAAGTAAAAACAAGTAACGCATCTCAGAAGGATAAATCAAAAAGGCTCTTGCTTTGATAGGATCAGCATTCAAGAACTCAAATGCATTCATGCGGCTAGGGATATCAAGCTCTTCAACAGCCATCACAGCTTTGTAAACTTCTGAATAATTGATACATGGCTTGCTTTTCTCATATGCATCAGCTAATCTGGGTATATATACCCAGTATCTATATATATATTGGATACTGGGTATATATTTGGAACGAAAGCAATCGTTAAAATAACATCCCTAATTATAAAAAGTTTTGATTTTAGTTTGATTTGAGATTATGAGTGGCTAGAAGTCCAATATAGAACAGATAATTAAAAAAAAAAAAAAAATTCTATCTGTATAATTTGCGTTGCCAAAGAAACGTTAAGAGAGAACTTACCTTTGGAGAGAACTTTGCAACGATTAAATTGCTAGGTAAAATAGGAACTGCAAATAAATATAGAATAGATAATAAAAAAAAAATTAAAAATTTATATGTATAATTTGCGTTGCAGAGAAACATTGAGAGGAAATTTACCTTTGAATAGAACTTTGCAACGATTAAACTGTGGGGTAAAATAAGCGAAAATTTTATTTTCGCGTGTTTTTAGAGGAAAAATATTCCACGTGGGAAACTAAATTTTCCATTACGATTCTCTTTCTATCTATCCAAACTTTAAAAAAATTTAAAATTTTTCTCTTTCCTTTCTTTTCTAGCTGCCTACCCAAACAAAGCCTAAAGAATTTTCTTCCATAATGAGTGTTTTGAGTTACCTAACTAATTTTCTTCCATAATGAATGTTTTGAGTTATTGTCATATAAATGAAAAAGTAATAATAATTATTGTCTTATACAAATCTATTTGAAGTCTATAAAGAATTAAGGAAAAGCTATTTTAGTGACCAAAATTAAAGATAATAGCTATAAAATGACCTTAAAATTTTAAAAAGACAAATAGGGATCAATCCTAAAACAATATTGCTTTTCAGTGACCAGACAATATTACATAAATACCCTTGTTTGCACTCTCCTACATGCATTAATAGGACGGTATATCTCGCCTGATTGTTTTCCGGCAACACAATAATTGCCATCGGTGCCGGAAAACTTCTCTCAATAAATGGATGGATGGATGAGGAATCCCTAGGGAACGGAAAGTGTCTCCTCCATTTTTTGTTTGGTTGAATAGAATGGATAGTAGAAAGGATGGATGTGGTGATACTTTTTTTTGTTTAGTTGGAAGGAAGGGAAAGAAATTTTTTATATTTTTTTACCAATATATCCTCACGGTATAAAATAATAAAAAGTAGATATCCATTTAAATTTTTTTGAAAAGGTAAAAATTGAAAATTGGATATTGTTGGTAGTTATTCATTTTCTCTCTCCTCCCTTCCCCCAAAATTGGGCGGATAGAAAAACATCCCTCCTTGCTTCCTCCTTCTTTTCCCTTCCTTCCAACCAAACACGAAAATCCTCATCCATCCCTCCTCTCATTCATCCCTCCTCAATCCATCCCTCCAACCAAACATCGCGTAATTCAAATCCCTCTTCAGTTTATGGTTTCATGTTGAATATTAATTCGAGTTTCTCTTTTGTTATTTTCTTTAAATTTATAGAACAAAGAATCTGCTATTCATAGTTCAAGGATTGGATACAAAAATCTACTTTACAGCCAGAGTCAGTGCTACTATGTCACAGATGTCATGTAAACCTATATGGTCATTGAATTATGCATCTATACATACATGTATGTTCCTGTGAATGCATTTACGCAAATATGTATATACATATGAAGGGTAAAAGTGCATAAAATTCCTATAGTATAGGTTTTGTGCACAATGTACTCCTTTTTTCAAACTTGAGCCCAGTGGGACTCTAATTTTTTAAAAATGTACATTTCAGTTTCTATTTTTCAAAATTGTATAAATACCCCTCCTCTGACTATTTTTTTTAACAAAAAGTAAATATAAAAGCCCGATTTTGCCCTTTTCTTCCTATTTTGCCCCTCTCACATAATGTGCATGACTCCCAACCCATTTCTTATACGCCCTATCTCTCTCTCTCTCTCTCTCTCCCTCCCTCCCTCCCTTCGTAAATTAGAGCTTTTCCTTTCTTTTTTTCTTTTATCAATAATATTAAAGGGTTTTAAACTACACATTAACTTTTTTTTGCACTTTATTGATAGCAGGGAGGGTTTTTTAAATGACAACCGCCTGAAAATTAAAATAAATATAGAAAGCAAATGGCCGTGTATTTGGGGGTTTAACTAATTTTTTATTTTTATTTTTATTTTTTTATTTACGAAATTATCCTTATATGGTCACTAAAAAGCAATTTAGTTTTAGGATTGATGTCTATTTGTCTTTTTATTTTATTTTATTTTATTAACTTTAATGTAAGTTTACATCTATTATCTTTAATTTTGGTCACTAGAAGATAATTTTCGCAACAATTTATCAGATATACAAATCACTAATTAATAAAGGGTATAATAAGAAATAAAATATAAAGTTACACTATCATGAGAAATTGAAATTTTCTTGTGTTTCATACTGATCCGTTTCGTTAGACATAAATTAGTAATGAAAAGTAAAAGAAAGTGAAGTGAATAAAAATTAAATTTTTAACGTCAATTTGGTTAGCATGAAAATTTTGCAAGAAAATTATGTAAAATTACTATTTTATAGTTTGAATAACAAGTAACTTACTATAAAAGAAATGACAATATTGTAAGTTCACAAAACTTTCTAAAAAAATTAAAATTTTCTTGTGTTTTTTGGAAGAAAATTTTATGAAAGAATTAGGTAGTTATGAAAAGTGATTTTCTTCATAATTTTCTTTTTCTTTTTGACCAAACTCGTAAAGTATTTAAAAAAAAAAAAATTTCCGTTTCTATTATTTTCTTGCTATTTCCATCCAACCAAACTAAACTAAATTGAAAAAAATCAACTTTCAAAAAATTATTTTCCTTAAAATTTTTACTTTCCTTCTAACCAAGCTCAGAAATTTTTTTTTTTTTAAAAATTCCTTTTTATTTTCCTTTCCTTTGCTGCTACCTCCATCTAACCAAACACTCCCTTATTCAAAAAAATTCCTTTTTATTTTCCTTTCCTTTGCTGCTACCTCCATCTAACCAAACACTCCCTTATTCTTTGTTATCTTTAGATTATTTTCATTTATCCTCCTTTTCGTCTTTCTTATCCAAACGCGGTAAGACTCGGCACAAAGTAAATAAATAGTGTGTTAGAACGCGTCTCCAACGCGCAAGCCTCGTCCCTCCGCATGGAATTTCCGCTCTCTTATTTCTCTCTCTAGATTTCTCGCTTTCTCTCTCTCTCTGCGTGTGCGTGGACGACCTGTCCCGGCATCTCCTCACAGGGACGAAACGCACACAGTACAAGAGAGAGAGACAACAGTAATCAAGACAACACCATTTCAACAACAAAACTCTAGCTCTCTTTGTTTCATCGATCGTGATCGGTTGGAAGGTATCTTTCTCTTCATTTTTCTTCTACTCTAAGTTCTCTCTTTCGTAAATTTGATACTTTCTTGCGTTTTTTAAATTTTTGTTTGCTTAATTGTGAAGCTCTCTATGCAGATCTATGTTTTATTTATTTATTTATTTATTGGGTTTGTTTGATTTTTCTTATTTTTTATAATTGTTTGTGTTAATGAATTGATGATAGATCTGCTCTTAAAGTTGTAAGATTCTTGATTCGTTTTGTTTTTTGAATTTTTTTTTTTTTGGATGTTTCGATAGTTTTTCATATACTTGGATATGGAACTAATTGGCAATCAAATGTGAATTTATTCGCCGAATGTCTTGATTATAAATGTTAATCAAAATTGGTCAATAGATCCATGTAAAGTTGAATAAAATAGCTCCAGAATTGGGGATCTAATAATTTTTCCCCTCTTTGCAATGCACTGATCTGAATTGAAAGGAACCTAATGAAGAATAGCTATAGCACTCAAATATTTAAATATGAATACATCGAGTAGAAATTTGGTCAGTATTAATTATATTAATGGAAGTTGGATGCATATATACAGATATACCTTTTAATCTCATAGCATTAAGATCATCATAGGCAGTAGAGCACAGTTGTGGCACACAATGTTGATTGTACTGATGCTATCCTGAATGGAAGCATTGGATATAACAGAAAGTGTACCTCTGTCACCTCTTTCGTGGGGGGTGAGAGTTTAGGTATTGAATAATGCCATAAAATAAAATAAAAGGAAACCATAGCTCTGAAGCAAGTTAAATACTTTGTCCGTATTGAGTTGCATAGCTTTGGAGATAAAGTAACACAGGAATTCATGAACATGCATCCATAAGCTTCACATCTATATATATATTGACTTTTTTTTTTTTTTAATTCTTTTGACCTTGCTAATTAGAATCATTTATCCCGGTTGGTAGAATTGTTTTTCAGTTAACTTAGCTAAGTATGCATTCATGTATACTTGTCCATGCGGTTGGATAGAATAAATGTTTAGTCTAACTTTGATATTTCAAAAATTGGATAGATTTCCTTTCCTTTGATTCAAAGATGAATATTCTTTATATTGCACATAATCCAATTATGCTGAATTATGTTTTATGATATAATCCTGGTAAGAATCGGTTAATAGGCAAAGATGAATATTCTTTATATTGCACATTATCCAATTATGCTGAATTATGTTTTATGATATAATCCTGGTAAGAATCGGTTAATAGGCAATGTATATGTATATATGTTTTTGAATTACTAGGTTAGGTTGGTTAACACATGTTGTTTAAAAGAAGTTCTGTGATGTGGTTTAATGCTGTACTATAACTATACAATGCATAAATTGCTACTGTGTAATAAGATCGAAATAACTGTAAGAGTTTATGTGGGGAAAAGAATATCAGACAGTGAGGGAAACATTGATTTGCATTTGCATAGGATTAGGATATTGTGTTGAGTTGTGAATGGGTGATTTGCAAGTTGAATTATCCGCACCACATTCATGGCTTTCTGCCTTTCACATCATACAATATATATATATATATATATATATATCGTCACTACTGACTGACTAATTTTAGGTTTTTTTTAATAGGTCATTTGATGAGTAAATCTCCTAGGATATTCAGTCCTCTCCTTTGGCATTAGCAAATTTCTAAATGAACTGTTTACTACCTTCATCCATTGGCTGAAGTTAGTTCCCAAATTAGACAGAAATATTTCTAGTCTTTGACTTCCTGAGTTAGTTGGTGGTCAGTATGATATAATAATGAGGTTACCCTAAATCATGGTTCAACTGTTCATTTAGTCCGTGGCTATTTTTTATTGATGATGAATATTGTGGTTTACTAACAGTATTTGCAGTTCTGCAAATTATATAGTTTGGAGTTCAGTGAGATGTGATTAGTAGTTCTCTAGATTTGGGTGTTTACTGGTGAAGATTGGATTGGTAGATTGACATTAACAACATCCTGCTTAGAGCAGTTTTTTAGGGGTAAGGCAAATGTTTGTTACATTTGGCTGTAGCAATGAAAGTCATACTAGTAATGTGGTATAATTTAAGTTGCAATGGTTTACTGAAGTTAAACCTATAGAATATAAATTTATTTATTTATTTTCCAAGCAATAATAGAAAGGAAAGCCTGGAAACCACGAGAACGCTTCGTGTTTTCTTCCCACCCTAGCAGTATGAGTAGCACAAAAAGAGGGATTAGCATTATTTGACCCAATGATAAACACTAACACCTTCCTCGTTGGGGCTCCTAGCACTGGCAAAACGCTAACGCAATGGGAAAATGGCCACTTGTTTCGTAGTATTGCAGCTCCTTTACAGCTACTTGACACACTCAACTTCATTGTCCGGCGGTAAATGTTCTTTGAACACCATGGCCAAGAAGTCATCTTTATTGTTCGGCCAACGACTTCCCATCTGCATCTTTTTGTTATGTTAAAGAGGGAAACCTTTCTCATTGTGCGATTTGAGGAAATAATTGGACTTCCTTAATGTCTGCATGAAAAAACTTTTAATTCAATAAAAGTTAGTAGAGTTCAACTTAATTGTTTGTAGTTCGATGGACGTGCTTTTATTAGTTGTTGGCTTTCTCTGAGACTTTGACTTTCATGTCAGTGATGGATATATTAAGTCATTGTCTCAACCGTGGTGTTGTCCATTTGTTATGTTAAAGAGAGAAACCTTTCTCATTGTATGTTTTGAGGAAATAATTGGACTTCCTTAATGTCTGCATGAAAAATCTTTTAATTCAATAAAAGTTAGTAGAGCTTTCACTTAATTGTTTGTAGTTCGATGGATGTGCTTTTATTAGTTGTGTTGTTGGATATTGTCCTTGGCTGAAAGTAATTCATGTTATACATTTATATTTTTTGTCCGATGCTTTACAAATATATATAATGTTTCTCTTCCCACTAACATTCCCATTCATTAAAACTGAAGTTTTATATGAAGCAATTTCTGACCTTTGGATTCCTTACTATAAACTGCTCATTTCCCACTTCTAATAATACATACATATATATATATATATATAATATATAGTCTTCATCATATCACTGTTGCCTATGGAAATTTGAGTAGATCAAGCTTTCATGCATATCTTGATTTTATAATAGACATATTGATTCAGGTGTGGTGGAGGAAGGGCAGCGCAATGGTTCTTGACAGCATTATATCTTCTCCACACCGGTGGTCACAAAACGCATTTCCTTCACCAACATTTAAGAGGCAATACTCGATGAGAAACGAACCGGGGAGCTGTTCGGCACTCCTTGAGCGGCACCGCTTCCTCCTAACTGCTCTTGCTCTACTAGCTTTTCTGTGCACCATTTATCTTTACTTTGCCGTCACTCTAGGGAACAGTGAATCATGTTCTGGGTTGATGGGAACTGAAAAGGCTTTATGTCATGCGGAGTTGGCGAAAGCATCTGTGGCCAAAGGAAAATTAAAATTCTTTTAGTATGTAGATGACTTTTCTAGCAAGTAGTGGTGGTTATCCCATTGGATTCTGGGTGGGTTTGAAATATAACTATACACCTCAAAATTTGTTGATTTTCCGTCATGTACTGGAAACTATGTTGCCACCTCCAAACAGTGGTCCTAATTGTGAAAATGCAGAAGTGTTTTCTTTGGTGAATCATTTTTGACCTTTTTTGAGGGCCGTGTTGATGACTGGCAGTTGAATCATATACAAGTACTTTATTAGTAGATCTAAAGGTTGGCTCGTTATAGACCTGTGACTTGTATTTTGTTGCTTGGAATCTGTCTAGCTGTGAATCTTTTTGATCCGTAATCATGAACTTCTATCGTTGGATAGTATTTATGAATCATGTTGGCGGACTTCATTCAATAGTTATTACAGCAACACAGGCAACACATGCCCAATGGCTGCCCCCTTGAGCCTCTTTTTGTTACTTTTGTCTTTACAGCTGTGGGACTGAACTCCTTTACCCTTCCTCGGGAAAAAAGAAGGGTTAAACACGAGGCATCCATAAAAAAATAAAAAGAAAAAAAGAAATATATTGTCTCAATTGAAAGAGAGGATAGTAAATTTATAATTTATTATGTTAGTTCGAGAGAAGTGAAGAGAGTTTTTTAAATTATTTTTCCTAGTTATATATTTATATTTATTATTATCTATAATATTGTAATTTAAGATAGTATTGTAATTTAAATTTTTTATATTAGCTTTAATTGTGTAAGTAGGCAGTACAATTCATCTCTCTTATTATGGTTTCTCTCATTATCTCTCTTTGCCTTAGAGTGAATCCTTCCTTCCTACTTAACAAAACATAGATTAAATTAACTTTGCTTCTGGATTGGAGATTAAGGCTCTTTAATTTTTCTCTTGTTTCTTTTTCTTTTTTTTTTTTTTTTTTTTTTTTCACCTTGTGGGTTGGTTTGATTTAACATGAAATTAATTCTTATATTTTTGGTGTGTAAAGAAAGCAAAGTGTATCAAAATTGATTGAAAATGAATTTGTTATAGCCTTACAGGGAACTAAACGGAGATTCTGGCACAGGATAAATTATTCATAAATAAAATAAAATTAAACAGTTAACGTAATTAAATTATTATTGAATCATTTTATTCTAAAAAAGTGTTTCTATTCTATAACCAAGAATTTCTCAGCAAGCAAATACTTACACAAGCACATTAAGCATATGGTTTACCAAGTCTACAAGCATATACTTCTTCCCATATGAATTGTCCGTATAAAAAACTTTAACTCACAATTTTTATAAGTCAAAGTTATTAAAATAGACATTTAATATGAAATATAAGTAATATATAAATATAAAAAATAAATATGATTAACAATAACTTCAAATGACTCAAAAATTAAAAATAACAATGAGTCAAATTTTTTGAATTAGATAACTATTGTTGGATGGAGGTAATACTACACTTGCCCTCTTTACAGCTCCGGACATGTATTGTGGGACGGGAGTATTAAGTTCAGGTAAAGCATCACCCACCGACAACTACCAACCTAGTCAAGATAAAATTTGACCCACCGACAACTACCTCCTAATTGAGCTGAACGTCCTCCTACCAACCTATTATAAGTTGACACCTACCACCCTAACTCATGCGGTATTAACTTGCTCAAACAGCAAAGAATGAACGTTACCAACACTTTAATGGAGTTCACTGTAATCATCAGCTGATCATACTATGCGTATTGAGTTGACTCCATGGGATCTCCAGCTACTTTTAGTTGGCCCCATTCAACAGGGACTCGTCTTCCTCAAACCATCACCCTCACAAGAAAAAGAATTACTATCAAACAGTAGTAGTTTTACTCTCATTGATCACCTCAAAAGCTCACTCTCTCGCACCCTAGACTTCTTCCCTCCTCATGCCGGCTGTCTCACCGCTCTCAAAAACCCTGATAACACCACCTCCTGCCTTCTCCATTCACTACAACAATGCCGGGGCACAGTTCAGTCATGCCGTGGTGCCTAGTATTATTGTGGCCAACATTCTTGAGCAAGGCATTATTAATGTGTGTGAGTCGTACGCAGCGGAATGTATACAGGAAAGTTTTACGTTTTGTAAAACAGATTTATGTCGTTACCAACTTTACTTATTTTAGCAGTTAAACAATTAATCGCATGCAGTAAAATAACGCAAAGTATAAAGTTAGAGATAACACCAGGATTTTAACGAGGAAACCCCAGTTAATAAAATACGTCAACAGTTATGGGAAAAATCTCGTGGACTTGTGCAATCTAAAGTAAACCAATCCATTATGCTTGAAACAAAGTATACTTAACTTTGATTCTGACTCACACCCTATCATTCTACACCACATCAACCGCTGACGATCCTCTAGCTTTGCGACTCCCCGTCTAACAACAACTTGACCTCAAGCTTATACTTGATATTTGTAGAAGAGTAGCAGGTAGATCAGACAACACTCTGCGAATGCTCCAACCCTTCTAAAGTGTGACTGTGTTTACTTCTGTTCTTCAATCGTCTGAATGATGTAGAAGAAGATCTGCTTCGTCTGATCGATGTTAATACGACTGTATGATCACGATCATGATTCGAACACCATAACTCTAAACTCACTAGGTAGATATGTGTGGGTTCTAGGAAGACAATAGAAAAATCAACTTTGATTTTATTAGAGAAATAAACTTCTTAAGGCTTTGAATAATATCAAAATTATAATATAAAAGCCGTAAATAAACCAATGTATATGACATGGTTTATATAGGTATAGAATGACCTAATTCCTATGAAAATAAGGTAAATTTCATGCATAGGATTTGGTACAATTCTAGACCAACTGGGAAATAACTCAGAGTAAGGAAACTGAAGTTGTATTGCAAACAGGACATCTTAAACCGGTTCAACACCGGTTCAAGTTTGGCAGTGACTCAAACTTGAACATCTTGAATCAGTTCAAGGAAGCTGAACCGGTTTAAGGTTGGCAGACCTGAATGTCGAATTCTTTCAGCCTTGTTTCATTCTATGAAAATTTTAGATCAACATGGTAAGTGTAGAATGTCCAACCGTATTCATATTCCTTCTTAAAGTGGTGTCCTTACCCTTTTCTTCACAAACTCTTCAAGTATGGTAAGTTAGAACTCCTTCCCAGTTCTGTAGTCCCTGTCGAACTTGATGACTTGTCGAACACGTAATTTAAATTACAACTCAACTTGGACTTGTTATGTCTATGATAATTGCCAAAAATAATTAATATCTCATAATCTTCCCCTTTTGCAATTTCGTGACAAAACCCTAAAAACAATTTTTGCAATCTACCTAAAGCAGAAAAGTAAATTACATTATTCGCTTAGGAACACTGTTCTTCTTGGATTCAAAGCTTAACTTGTTTCCTGCACACTATCAAGCAACAACTACCAATGAAGTTTAATAAATAAAAAGGTATAAAAACTCCCCCTTAAGTAAATATCCAAAAATTTAACATCTCACATTTGTTCTCCCTCTTTTTGTAACAAATTAACGAAGCATAGAGAAGAAAAACAAATAGAACAGATAAGTACACCTAATTAAAGCACATTGCAAATAAACATATTGAATTCGTTGAAAACATATTTCAGGAATATCCAAAAACATAGACAAGCTGTGCAATAATTAAACAAAACATGATGTCATGATGCATGAGAAATTAACATTAAAAACAGCACCATGTTTCCTCAACCACTCAGAGATAAGAAACATCAGCACTAGTCTCCACCACTCTCTTCTTCATCCTCATCCTCCTCATCCTCATCAGTATACTCATCCTCATCTGCATCATCTTCCTCATCTTCAGCTTACAGAGACGGATCTGGAGGTGCAGGCCTATAAACATCCTCATTCGGTACTCCAGATGGCTGTCCAAGTCATCTGTAATTTGAGATCTCGGATCTCAACCATTATCTTCTCAAACAATGAATTCTGATGCTAAAGTAGATGAGAATACATGATGTTGACATCGGTTTTCATGAAAGTCCCTTTCGAAGTAAATAGCTAAGTAATGTCTGAAACTTGTGACCGCCCCACATCAACAGATCTCCTCGCCTTTCTAGAATTCTCTCTAGCAGTCTTTAATTTGTTCAGAGCACGAGGATCTAATTCAGTCATGATCGGCTTATGATTAGCTCTTGGAGGAATCATCACATTCTTCTTTTTCAGAATTTCTATGATGATCATTGGAAATGGAGAAGAATACTTGCGAGAATTTTTCTTATAATGAGCTAATATAAGCTGCATAATAGAGTGGTCAAGCAAAATATTCTTATTATTGGCAAGAAAATAAAGGACTTATGCTCACTCCAGAGATATTCATCCTTTTTCCCAAAGTAGCCCAGATTTGCCATAGCAAACAAGTTGAAAAACGCAGCTTCATCTATCAAAAATCGAGCTGGGATAGTATCTTGATTCACAGAGGAGTTCAGCACACAACTTCATCTGTCAGAAATTGAGCTGGGATAGTATCTTGATTCATAGAAGAGTTCAGCACATAGATCTTTGGAATAATCCGGGAAAAATTAGGGCCTGTAATTGTCAAAGGCAGAGTATGTCCCGACAATTGATGATTTTTTGGAAGGCCAATGATAGACACAATATCCAGCTTATCAATGGTATAATCAACGCCAAACAACGATACAATGAAGTAGGAGTCATGAACCTCACGGATATTAGCATAGAAATAGCTAATCATATCCGGACAATAAACGCATTTGTCAAGTCTAGTGAAGAAAAGCCAATGATGAGTTTTGATATAGTTCACTAATGTTTGTCCCACATTGTCTTAAAGCTTCTGAAGATTAACATTTCTCTCTATTTTTATCGGTCCATCCTTGTAAACAGAGGTATACACCTTCCAAGCTTCTTCATTGTAAAAATGTGACTCTGTAAATTCAATCCTTCCAGTGCTAAAAACTGAAAGATATCTTATTGGAGTCATGCTTGGAGCTTGAGAACCACTTTAAGGTTCTTGAATGGAGATGCCGGTTCTGGACCTCTTTGGTGGCCTAGGATTTGCAATCCCTTTCCTTTTAGCTTCTCTAGTCAATTTAGGAGCCATTTCCTTTAGAAATTGTTCCAATTTGAAGCTTATAACTCTTTTAGGACTTTTATCAAACACTTGGTATGCAACCCCAAAAGTGTTAATAGAAAAACTTGTTTTGATAGTCTATTTACCCCAAAATCAATCAACAAATGCAAATTTGTAATCCCGAAGCACAAGGAAGC